AAAGTAGACGCGCAGCCATCTACCACTCTCTAAATCCTCTCTCACCTTGAACCGGTGGCAAGACAGGGTGGAGATGAGTGAGCGGGAATCAAGCATAAGCCGCTTTCTCAAATGCAGACCGGAAACACAGTCTAAGTTAGTCTTAAGTGGCAGTAGCCTTTTGCGCTGGTACTACTGCACAACCTACCCTCACTCACCTTCAGCAGATGTCCAGAAAGAGTCAAGGAGACCGAGTCTGATATTGCTTCTACTGCTACTACTATTTATACAACTACTTACTAGCAGTGTATCTGGGTGATAGTAATTGGTCAGAAATACACTGATTAAAGTCAGCGCAGGGCTCGTGTTCCCTTGATCTCAACTAGGGTTGGGGGGGCTGGATTTATTCTATTCCGAGTAAACATAAATGCTTGCCCGGGGTTCAAGCATCCTGCCTCTATTCACCAAAACTGTGTAAGATTTCCTAAGTTTAGAATACGAGGACCAGGATACTGCTGCAAGACATAATATACCAATGCTAGGAGTGCAAATTTTAGTAATCATACTTACTAAGACCAGTAAATAGTGTACGATAATACGGCCTTTACGTGTACGTTGGAACCCGGAGGCTGGTATGCAATTACAACTTATATCGGGCAAATAATGAACCTGAAGGGATAAATAAAGGAACTTTTTACTTAATAATAGTTTAGGTTCTACTATGTCTTTAGATCGCAACGTGGAGCCATTTGCCATTTTTCAGGCTAACGTCTACTGTCTACAGTATCTAGCTCTAGCTTAGAATTTACAGAGCATATCCTGTCTAGTAGGGAGCTACCTTCTTCAGAATCAACTAGATATGAAAGCTTAGTAATTCCTATAATTATGTCAGTAGCTGAGTAATAAGCAATAAGCATAACAGATGGGCATATGAGCTTGCCAAATTTCTTATCTTCACCTGGTGATTCTATAAGACACTTGGGCTTTCCTGCGAGCATGCGGTCTCTATACGAGGTCGCAGCTCAGCAGATTACGCCGGACTACACGACAGATTCGAGATTCTCACGACCGTATCAATACCAACATGAGCACACGGATCCTGTGACTGGGTTCTTGGTAGACATCTGGTGTCACGGAAGATGAGCACCTGGCGTCAAGCGACAATCTCTCCATGAACCAACATCCATAAATGCTTAGAAATCCCGTCTCCCTATATGTTGTTCTTATAATTCCATTAGATTGACTTGTTACCTTCGGATATTGCAGCTCTCATTCACAGAACAGTTTGTAGCTGTTCCTCTGTGGATTAACGACGGTGACTTCTCAGAAGAAACAACAGCCGAAACAGCTATCTTATCGTGCAGCTCTCATTCACAGTACAGTTTGTAGCTGTTCCTCTGTGGATTAATGACGGTGACTTCTCAGAAGAACCAACAGCCGAAACAGCTATCTTATCGTTTCAGTGACCCAGTTCAATTTAGTTTAGGGCTGAAAAAACAATAGACTACATACATCTCAGCTTGCGTTTTGACAATCTTACTTTTCCTATTTTCTATCACTTAAGACCCTAGCCCAACCGAATGCCAGCATAACCTTGCTGGCTGTCTTGACGCATCTTGACTGTGGCCGACTGCCTACAACGATTCCGTTGTCAATGTGGACGACCTCAAGGTTATATGCCTTCGCTGTTGACCGTGTTCGGCCGACTGCCAACAATGGTTCATTGTTCAATGGGAGCGGCCTCAAGGTCTTGTGTCTTCGCTGTCACTGTCCCCATGCGATGGCCTTAAAACACTTGACCGCGCACACACACGTGCACACACATACGCGAGCCCACGCGCGTGCCCAAGTAGTCGCAGTTCTTCAAGGGCCACTTAGGTGCGCCACACACGGAAGGTGACCTTATTCCAACGCGCCCAATCATGCCACAAGCGAACACGCTTGACAATCACTTATAAGCAACTGGCACATCTCAGACAGTGGGGTTCAACACCGAGTGGACACAGCCAGCCCACCTCAGGCCCGGGCTTCACCCCGCGGCAGGACATTCAGCCCTCGACAATGCCAGGGGCACAACTGCCACCCTAGACAGCAACTCTGGGTTTTGTACACGATAAACTCTCATTTGGTGGGGGCTTCCACTTTTACACCCTTCTTGCTGTGTAACTCCTTGGACGTAATTAGACGGTGACACGGCCAGACACTATCTACCGGATTTAATGTGATTTATGTGAAAACCGCTGTACTAGCTTAGGCATCACTTCGCATCCACATAATTTTATTTCCGTATTTGCAAATTTTACAGTCGAAGCAGGATTGCATTTATTCTAAATCCTGCAGGAGCTCTTTAGGCGGGATAAGAGCAGTACGCTGCTGTAAGAACGCCCCAGATTTGGCAACGTCTTTGGCCGGGGGCGGAGGCGGGGTAGCAAACATTTTATTCAATGCTCGGTCTGCGCTGACAAACATCCGTTCGATGGACTTCTCTATACTAATCTTCGTTCTGGGCGTTGATGGCAAACTTTTAGAGATCATCATTCGCGGTGTCACTGGAAAACTGACCTTCTCTGGTACAGGCGTCGCAGAAACTCTTTTCGGCCTCTTTACAAAGCACTGTTCTGGTAATTTAATAGGATAATTATCTGTCTGCTTTTTCTCCCTTCGCCGAAGGCAGGCTTCTTCCATCTCTTGCTCATACTGCTCCTTCCACCGAGACCGTGCCTCATGCAAATGCGATGGATGGTTAACGCAAAAGTATGTCGTGTTTAGAAGATCTCGTCGTCTGCGCTCCAGCCGTTGAATACCCAGATAGCTGGAGTTCTTGAATTCGCTGTAATTGTGTCGGAAATGCACCGAGTCGATTGAGCGGTAGGCCTCTATACAAACTTCCGTAGGTTCGACGTATTCAAGGCTTATACCTTCTTTGTTGAAGAATGAGGCCCGCGATGGGCGGCGTTTAAGCGTTCCTGTGCTGAACTTGACGGAAATCGGCATGTCCCAGGGCAGCCTGCGATAGTTCTCACAAGCTAGCTTGCTGAAGGACGTCTTCATATCGCTAAGGGCTGAGTTCCTTCGGAAGGATTTGAAACTTCCAGAACTCCCGGAAGGCGCGTGCGCGGATAGCATGGTTTATTTTACTCTGAAAGCGGATAGTAAACGTCTGTGTGTATGTGTTTGCTTCGGCAGCAGCCCCAGATTACTGCCCTCCCAGCTCGGCCGCTGACCGCCCACACGCACGTGCAATCGGGCAGTGCGGATCGATCGACTGCAAGGACCATTGGTGGA